TTTGAACTACTAGAGAAGTGTGACCTCTGGGGTTTTAGTGCAACTGTCTAGGGACTGCACCATCAAGCAAGCCTGGGTGTTTTTAACCTACCCAATACATTTGATAGATTGCTAATAATGGAAACAAAGTGAAGAAGCAAATAAAATGTCCAGCTCACTAACATGAAGACTGGTCAATTTCACAATCCTGCCATGCTTAAATTGAGCAGATTCAGACATAGAAAATGGATATTTCACTGCCATCAAGAAGGAAGAATCAGAGTGTGAAATGTGACAACATCAGCTATAGGTTAGAACCAGAGACTGGCGTAAGATAGACGTGAATGAGGCCTGTTAATCCACAGAGTCACAGCTGTGGAGTAGAGTTGACACACAATTCAAAGAACTACAAATGCTTTGTAATATTTGCTCAAGCAGGGAGGACAAGCCAAGTCTGAGAGACTTGAAGGGGTCAGAGAGGGGCCTGAAAGCATATACCTGGTGAAGAATTTTGCTGAGTCTTTCCGATCAGCATCGTCCCTAAGTACTGTCATGAGATATAAGTACTGTCTGTGAGTTCTGTGTGACCACTTTAGTGAGTTAGTGAACCCAGCAGCGGAGCGGTGAGCGCCATTGGGAGAGATGGTTGGTGCTGACATTGTCAGAAGAGTGGGGTATGCAGGTGCACAACTAATCTCTTTGGAACGGAAGTTTATTGTTGACACTGTTAATGATGATTCTTCCCAGGTGTGAGGTTAGTAGACTCTAGAGCCTGTTACCACTCTGCCACCCTAACTGCTTTAACCACTTGAGTGGTGTAAATTGTTACTATGCTATATTTGGTAATAGCAAAGGTTGTATGGAAAACTGTGTTTTTGAAAAGTGTTTCAGGAGAAAGACATGCCAATCCACTTACAATAAACCTTGGAGAGCACAGTGCTACTCTGACACCCATGGGGTCACCATTAATCTAAAGGGTTCAGTGGCAGCCGTTTGCATTTGCTCCAGAATATTCCATATATAATGTGCCAGCACGTAGAACTACTATGGAGTAAAACTTTGACAAGCAATTGCTAATTAATTTGCAAATGGCCACTGGCGATGAATCGGCATTTGTAATTTTTTGCACCTGCAATTATTTGTACGGAAAAAACGCATCTATAATTTCCTAATTGTAGGCAAAACTGTCCAAGTCTGTCCTTAAAAAAAAAAAAGAGCACAAAGAGATGCCATCTGTGAAAGTACAGCAATCCCTCAGACCTTGCCTGATGCAAATCCTGAGGCTGGTGGGAATATTTCCTTATTGACTTTATCTTGGGCTTTATTCTTGCTTAATCTCATTTGGGTATCCAGACTAGTCAGTCTCCTCTACTGAGAATCAGATAGCCTTTCGTCTTATAGAACCACCATGGTCTTTTCTCTCAAATATCAAGTGTACAGATTATGGGTAAACCAAATGGGAGCCATTTCTCAGGCATATCATTTTCTCTTGTTCCTGTGAGAAGATGCCATTGTTTATTCACTTGTTATTCTACAATATAGGCAACTTCAACTCCAACTAAAGATGAAATCGCATACAAATTTATACCCAGTGATGACATACAGATTATCATATTCTTCTTTTCAAAAGGTTTCAGCCATTTATTAAAAATGTGGCTGTCAGTTTAGATACAATATAAGAATTTTTCTTCATTATGTTATTAGGCCATCATGGAACTTAATAATTGTCCTTTGGAATTTGATTTCCTATGAAAGCATCATAACAACCAGTATTATAATGAATAATTATTTAGCCAAATGAAGACAGTTATGATTTCAGATGGGAATTAAATAATAATAGATAAGAAATATAAAACCTAGATTAAGACTTAATAAAGATCCAGCTCTCATACATGTCAGGAACAATAAATATGGGGCAACAAAGCTTGCTTTATGAAAATGAAACAGATTATAGAGAACATATCTCTGAATGGATTTGATAATATAACTAATGTTTGCTTATCATTTAATCATATTAAACACCTTGGATCTGATAGATTAGAATGGAATAAATTATAAGTAGGAGTAACTGGATAGCTTATTAATCTAATGACCAAATAAAAATATAATGCATTTATTATAAATAATACCAGAGAGATTATACATATATGCTGTATAAAATATTTGGAATTGTATTATCATGTGGGCATATGAAAAGGATGGGAAATTGCAAATTATACAATGTTCACTAGTTTTTGTTATTTTAAAAAAATGGTGCTGAATAGGGGCTTGTCTTTATGTTCTACTGTATTTATCAATAGGGACCCCTGGTAGCCTGTTGCTACGGAGCAGCATTGCCAACCCAAAGGCATGAAATTCTAATCTGCAAGTTGCTCCGTAAGATAAAGATAGGCAATCTCCTCCTGTATGATTTAAAGTACAGGAAACCCCCTGGAAGTTCAGCTATAAGATAGTTTAGACCTTATGGCAAATCACAATAATATATTTTTCAATAATGATCTTAAGAAAAAATCCAAAATCATGAACTTCCATTGCCATTGTCAATGAGATGGAACTAATTCGCCACTGACCCTCCACTGGGTTTCTGAGATTATAAATCTAATTGAAAAGTTTACTTTCTACCTCAGAGCAGCTGGGGTTTTCAAAGAGGCAGAGAGGCATGACTTTTGGATTAGCAAGAGAGTTGTGACAGTCAGAGAGCTGGACAATGACTAAGGATGACAGAAGAATAACAGATACCTCTGAGTTATGGTGCTGGAGAAGAGTCTTGAATATACCATGGACAGCCAATAAAACAAATAGGTCTGTCTTGGAGAGGGTGAAACCAAGCTTTTCCTTTGAGACTAAGATTTTAAAGCTCATAGTTTGGGCATGTTACAAGAAGGGATGAGTCCTTACAAAGGGATATCATGCTTGGAATGCTGGAGGGACAGTCCAAGAGAGGAAGACCCTGGATGAGATGGAGTCACTCAGTGATAGGGGTAATGGACATAGGTGTGTCAGAGACAATGAAATTGGCTCAAGATAGAGCAGGGTTCAGAGTTGTTGTTCATAGATCACTATGAGTTAGAGTTGACTTGACAGAACATAACAACAATGTAATAGTTTAGGGAGCTCTGGTGCTTAGGAAAGGAATTGTGCTACCACTGCTGGGATAAGCAATTCAAATCCACCAGATTTCCTGTGGGAGAAATATGGGCAATCTTCTTCCATGCAACTTACAGTCACTGAAAACCAACTGGAGAGTCAGCTCAGAGTTGATTCTGACTTGACAGTTCAACCACAACAATGATAATCTACAAAAAGTTGAAGCATTAGTTATACCCCTGTCTTGAGTTTCCTGACCATGAGATGTATTTTTAGACTATAAGAATGTAGGGTTAAGGATTTGTTACGTAATTATTATTGTTATTAAAAAAAATATGTGCTGAAATGCTAACCCAAAACCTTGCGTTTGAATCTGCCAGCAATTCTAGGAAGAATGATGTGCCATGTCTTCCTGTGTGGTTTACTGCCTCTAGAAAACCCACTGGATGGTGAACTACGAGACAGCACGTAACATTATGATTGTTAATGAGGTCCTATCAGGGTAGGGTGTTCTCATGTTTGCATTAGAAAGAGTATATACAGATAAAGAAATACATATGGGGTGTGGTGTCAAGGGTTTACTTTTCCAAAAGTTTTTTCTACCCCTTGATAGCCTGAGACTCCACTCTCCTAAAGTTCAGGTAGTTGACAAAAATATCAAAAATACATTTGATTGGGGAACACTTCCTCTACCATATATTGTAAAATGAGGACTTGGACGTCTGCCCTCAGGCCAGCGTTTATTCGATGTGTTAAAAGAGAATCATTAAAATTACCTGAGCCTACTTGGGTGGTTAATTTGAAGAGACAGAGGATACCTGGTGGAAGGCACAAAATTATTGTTCTGATGAATGACTTACTAGGGAGCTCAAGTGTATGGGAGATACTGAGGATGGCACAGGATAGGACAGGACTCAGGTCTGCTCTTCATAGGATCACTATGAGTTGTATTTGACTCCATGGCCCCTAACAACATCAGGGAGCCCTGGTGGCCCTGTAGGAAGAACCTGCACTGTAGTCCCAAAGGTATGTGGTTTGAATTCACCATTTGCTCTGCTGGAGAAGGCTGGAAAATTTTCCTCCCTTGTGATTTACTGCCTCTGAAAACTCACTGGGAGGTCGGTCAGCCATGAGTTGGTTCCATCTGTAAGGCACACAACACCAACTATAACAAAGACTGGAGTAGGTCATGACTCAAATGATCATCCTTTGTTCTCCAGGAGCCCCAGCATTCCTCCTTAAAGAAGACTGAGTTCAGTCCTCTGGGACTCGCCCTCTCTACTTGCTTAGGGCAACCTCCTACCCTGAGCTAGGAGCCTCAGCTTGGCCTGATAAATCAATACCTGAATGAGCTTCCTGAGGACATTCCAGCAAATTGTTGATCCCCAAAACAGGATAAGGTTTATGGTCAAGAGGAGGAACAGTATACTGTAAGAATGATGGAATGGTTTAACAGAATGAATTTGGGGACATTGCTGACCATTTCTTTGTGGCTAATTCCATACTGATATTTGTAATGATCAGAAATCTAAATAAAACATAGAGGGATATGCCTACTACATGGAGATCACCAGCGAAAATAGAGAAAAAAATATCTAGAAAATCTGAGAGAAGAATTTTCTCCCAGAGTCAACAAGGAGAGGGTTGCCCTTGAATTCAAACTTCTAACCTTTTAAACTATGAGAAATAAAGTTCTGTTTGTTAAAGACACCTACTTGTGGTTTTACTTTTACAGCAGCATTAACAAATTAAGTCACATGTTAAAGGACTTTACACCCAGGAGGAAACAGGACTAATTAGAGGCAACATGCCAGCCACATTTTTGTTCTTCTGTACGTAGCTGCACTTTTAATTGGATGTAGACAAGTATCAATCATTCATTTTTGTACATTATAGAACAACATTTCATAATACTCAAATGAAAATCTACTTACATCCCGAGCTACCATTTGTTGACACCAGAGTCAAGTTGGAAGGCCATGGATTCCGAACGATATCTTGCCAGTGAATTGTGTCTGCATAACAAAGGAATTTGTTCTGGTCCACATAGACTCCACCATTCAGGATTTCTGGATTAATAAAAGAGAAATAGAAAGAATTTTTTCCCAAATTTCTTTTTGCTTAAAATGTAGATATTAAAAATGATTGGTTAAAATAGTTGTAATATTTTACCAAGTCAAATATTGGTTATGAGATTTGAGAAAATAGAAAATAGCCTTAAAAAAACCAACCATCCATAATACTGAAACGCAGAAAAAAAAATCACTCAACAATTTGCAGAAGTTTTATTTGGTCTTTAATGAAACAGTATGCATGTACTAAGATATATCCTTTGTTTTAATTAACATTTATTAATATTTATTATTTTTAATTAACATTCCATACTGAGTATGTAAAGATGGTCTTCTATGTTCTGGTAGCACAGTCCATGGGGATCTGTGCTGTTACCCGAAGGCGTCACCTCTCTGGTGATTCAAATTCACCTGCAGCTCCACAGGAGAAAGATCACCAACCTCCCTCCACGGGACCTACAGACTTAGAACCCAGGGGAGGGTCAGCTATGAGTGGGTCCGTCACAGCTAGGAGATGCTACTTTAACTCTGTATCAGAGCATAAAATAGGAATTATTCAGCTATCTTCTATGGTTAGTCTTTAACTCAATTCAATGATTTTATAATTTAAATTATGCTTAAAATGATCTTCTACTTGATTACTTCTAAATATTTCTTTGAAATAAATTTGCACAAGTGATGTTCTAAGTTCACAGTGTGCAAATATTTTTGAGACTTTTGCTAGGAATTATTCAAATCCCTTTGAGTGTTTCTATCACTATGAGTGGTGTCTGTGAATAAGTATTTAAAACAAAATGGAAAGTAAAATTAATGCTTTAATCAAACAAATGATCTTCAACACTGCAAATGTTAACAGAATTACCAACTATTCTGTAAATAGAATACAACATAGGATGTAAGAAAAAAAATTCCTTGGTTCACTGATACAAGAGGGTGAAAATGAGTATAAAAACCAATTGTTATTTTATTCTAAACATCACAACATTGTTTTTTGTTAACTATGTTATCCTTCATCAAAAATGGCTGGTAAAATAGAAAATATATGGATTATCTTTCAGATTACTTTAAACAGGAGAAAAGTTAGAGACTTAGTTTGAAAATGCTACTTCTCTTCTTAGAAGACATTGGTTAGAAATATACACAGGATCTCCTTGCTGAATCTCTACCACTGTTTCTCTTTTGATACATGCCAAAGCAATTTCAAAGAAGTTACATGTCAATCAAAGAAATGGTGGGCTATAAGTAATAAAATTGCAATTAACAACACTTCAAATAATAGGAGATTCCTCCCCTCACTTAACAAGAGCTTTGTAAGGAGGGAGATACAGATGTGACTTCAGCTGCTGAGGCGTTCAGCATATTGGTTTCCTCATTATAGACACAGGATGGCTTTTGTAACTGTAGGCATCTGTTCCAAATTCTAAGTGAAGAGAAGGCAAAGAACAACTCAAAGACTTCCTCCTAATTAGGCTTGGCCTCTCTATTTAGAAAGAAATACTCTCCTCAAGGATTATGCCTACATTGTATCTGCCAGAATAATATCATGCAATTACCTCGACTGCCAAGAGAGGCTAAATAAGCTTGTTTTTCTCTAAAATACAATTCACACAAATATGCACCTTAGTGAGGATGAAGAAGGCATTTAATATCAGGAAGTTAGAGGATAGGGTCTGTTATCATGGTCTTGAAAAAAAAAAAAAGAACTTTATTTAATGCCTTAAATTACAGGAGTGGCATCCACTTCCATAACATCTTTCCTCTGGAAATCCTATGAACCTGGAGAAAGGACGAAAGTTATACAGGAACTGTCCAGACTTTTCGTTCATAGGGTCACTATGAGTTGCCTGCGACTCGATGGCACTTAACAACAGCAGCAATGCCTTAACTTGAACTTTTAGGGATACTTAGTAACAAAACAATACACTACAAAAAATAAAATAAGGCCAATTTTTTCAAATTAATTTAAATTCAAAGCAACCATATGCTGGAGAGTAGGGTTCTGAGATGGTAACTTTTACAGAAGTCAATCGCGTCATATTTCCTACAGAGTGCCCAGTGGATTAGGACTATCTATTCTTCCCTTAGCAGCAGAATTCTGAAACACTGCACCACCAGGGCTCCTCTCTTTAAGCAAAAGAGGAGGTTGAAAAAGGGAAAAAGGTATGTGACATGATTAAAGGATTATCTGTGGTGAGACATGAGTGTACCCATCCTAAATGCCTTCCTGAGTTACATGTATTGAATTTTTCCAGATTAGTTTTAATTTTGCCCAGCTTTCCACATATAATTTCCACTTCCATCATCGATCCTCCACAGACCACTGGAGATTCCTTTTTCTCATGTGAGGATAGGGTAAAAAAAATAAAAAATAAAAAAAAGGACAACAAAGAAGTGAAATTAGATCATTTTTTCTACTTCTAAAATCAAGTTCATTATTTTTCATGACCTAACCGTACAGCCTTCATCAAAGCAGACGGGAAATGTAAGACATAGAACAGGTTGTGAAAATGGATTTCCACATTAGCGTTTCCAGCTAAGAAACGTGAAGATCTTTTACTAATAGCTTTCTACGAGACATTAGGTGACACTCTTCTGTTCTACGAATAATTTTTCATTAGGTGACAGAGAAAGGAGGTTTTGACTGCTATCCAGGAAATGAAGGTTATTTTTCAGTCTCCATTAGGAAAAGTGCTATCCTGGAAAAAAAATGAGAAGAAAAAAGGGAATAGCTCAAGTCTTGTGGAAAGAGTTCATATTTTTCAGGAGTCATATTTTAATTCAAATAGTTCACAGTGAAGAAGCATTATATCCATTTCCAACTTCCTATTTAGAGATATTAAAATAGAATCAGATTATATTGCACTGAATAACAATCTCATCAAATCCCTTTCTTCAATATTAATCTGCTACCAATGTTGACATTTATTTCTTAGAAATATTCTATTTAAGAGCTTTAGTTTATACTTGGAAAAGGGATATAGGAGACAATAATAATTTAAGTATAATCTTAACATGTTAATGCTTCAAATTAAGACTACAACTTTATGATTCAGGATGAGAAGATTCAAAACCTAGCATCTGCTATCAATTCTGGTCAAGAGGATTTACAAACATTTAATATATCAAAATGGGTAGTTTATTAGTGGATTTCTACACATTTTCCTGGACATAAGGGGCCTCTTCCTTTCATCTGTTTTGCTTGTTGAATAAAAAAGCACATTGGAAAGACAGGTTTTCAACAGATCTATTTATCTAACAACTTTTATATAAGCTTTTTCTTACATTTTATTTTGATCCACTTGTTAGGTGGTGATAATCTAATTGTTGTTTCTAGCTTTAAAACTTTTTCAAAGAATTATTTAATAGGCTTGGGTTTATTTCTGCTCTTGGAAAGCAAATGACTTTACTTGATGAAGGTGGACTTAAGGTCTCTTGGCTGACTCTAGAGGCTTGATTGTCATGTTTGACTGTACTTATTTTTGCTAACAAACAGGAACCTTAATGCTCATCAAAAGTTTATGAAAGATTTACTGAAGGGTGTCACTTGTTTCACACCACAAACTTCCTTCTCACTTTACTATATGAAATTAAGTTATTGAAATTATTTTTTTTTCTAAAAATAGAGCAAGAAAAAAACCCCAACCAACCAAACCCAGACAATTTCGAAGCCAACGGATGAGCAAATTGTAATTGTTCTCCAAACAGTTAAAACCTGGAAGAACACAGACAAACAAAAAATCACTGAGTAAGTGAATGTGTTGAAGATAATTTCATACTACTGTATTTGAACTGTATTGAAGAAAATACATCAGAGTAAATTAAGAGAGACATACACATTTTCTCAGCCATTTAGTAAATTAGTAGCAAAAATAGTTACTATAGATTTACTTTTCACATTCTTTTAAAATAAGTCCTACGGGTTTATTTATTACATTCTTTTAAAAACAAGTCCAAAAAACACAGAACTGCCTCATCTTTAATAAATGTCATGGATAAATTAAAAAATATATATTACCTGTGGCATATTGAAGGGAAAAAAAGAGATCTTTTCATTACTGAAAATTCCAGTAAACATTAAACTATATTCATGCTTCAAAAAATTTCTTACTAAATTAATGCATGATCCAAGTAGACAAGGTCATCAATCTTTTTGTACTTAGAATAACTGTAACCGGTACTAGTCAAACACATTGAGTGTAACTTGCATAGTTTTGAGATAAAAATTTAATAGTCTTATTCCATACAGGTTTCGGTCTTGGGAAATCTATGTGACTTAAATGCACTGCTGTGGAGTCAAGTCAGGCACTTCAGAAGGTGTTGAGAAGGCGTGAACTGCACAGAAATTGACTATCTTTCTCCCCTTAGTGACTGGAGGATTTGAACCACCTGAGGGGTGGAACCTTTGTTTTAGCAGATCAATTCTACAGACTACTCCACCAGAATTCCCTTTTAACTAAATTAAGATGATTCTTTTTTTTAATTATTATTCTTTGTGTGTTTACCATCAAATCGGATCAGACTGGTATAGGAGGAGATTTCCCCTCCTTCTTCAGCAGAGCATCAGGTGGATTCGAACTGCACACTTCTGGGATTGCAGTGCATCTTCTTACTACTAGGCCACCAGAACTCCCTAAATTAAGGCGATTCTTAACTGAAATATAATCAAACTGTGCGCCATAAAGACAAGGAATTGTATTCAGTACAGTAAACACAGCATCATTAGGAACAATAATTGCTGAATCAATACTGGTTACATTGAACTGAATTTTCTACCAATGTTGATTTCTGTTTTAATTTCTAATTTTAAATTCTATTCTGACCAAATTAAAGAAAGATTAAATGTTATTTCTCCCCCACAGATACTCTACAGGCCATTTTAACCTGGTTACCATTCCCTTCAGTCAGAAGTCATTTCTCTTTTAAGTCACATTTTTATTCTCTAACATTATTCAAGGTGCAAGTTACATACAGAATAAATATTTGTTAAGGAAAGAAAA